ATGGCCAGGCCCAGAGAGTGGTGGTGAATGGGGTTACATCCAGCTGGTGGCTGGTCATGAGTGAGCTTCCCCGGGGCTCAGTACTGGGGTCACTTCTGTTCAGTATCTTTATGAATGGTCTGGATGAGTGGATTGAGCATGTATCCTCAGTGTTGCAGACAACTGCAAGTTGTGGGCGTGAGTGTTTGGGTGTGAGTGTTGGTCTGTTGGAGCGCAGGAAGGGAAGGATCTGGACAGGCTGGATTGCTGGACTGAGGCCAGTAGAGTGAGGTTCATCAGGGCCAAGTGCTGGGTTGTTGGTTCATAGCTGGGCCAGGTGGCAGAACACTGCCCTGTCTTTCCTGTTCATGGTTTCAGGTTTGGCATCAGGCTGTGCAAGTAACTAAGGGACACAGGGGATGCTCTCACACCCTTCCTGGGAATCCTTGCTTTTGTAGTACAGGCAAATAAAAGAACAATTAATTTCAAGGATGAAGAGAAAGGAGTTTTCGCTGCAGTCAAGATTGTGATGGGAACCTAGAAAAACGCTGCTGGTGTTAGAAAGCAGAGCTGGGGTTTAACTACTCAGAACTGAGCTGAAGATTAATGTGACCATAATTGTTTCAGAGCTGTTTTAGAGCTTCTGTCAGTTTAAAGATGAAATTACCATGTCCTTTTTCTACTTTATTTTTTCAGTTTTTGATTTTTAGTAAAGCTTCTGGCAATTGCTGCTTTTCAATTTCTATCGAGTTATGAAATGTAGTTTACTTTGGCCACATATACATGCCTGTAAAATACATCTTAAAAAAGGAATCCTACAGCTTGAGAACAATTTTTGTCAAAAGTCAGTGCATAATCTCAGTTTCTACAATAACTTAAAACTTGTGGAGGAAACTTCCAAAGAAAATCCAGAATCAAATGCAGGCGCTACAAATACTTGCCAGCATTCTTTCTAACAATATCTAAATATAATTTTGTAAATTTACTTTTTTACCTAGCTAATTGAAAAAACAGGTTTGGTAAAAAGGATTTCAAAATTGCAAACGGCTGATTTAGATCCCAGGCAGTAAGAATCTACCCATCACTTTTCTCTCAAAACTGCACGCACGGCACAACTGCGCGGACCTCCAGGGTGTTGCCACTCGTGCGCTTGTACACCGAAGCCGTAACTGTCGATTTAGCGAAGATGCTGATATTTTGTTTTGTTAAATGGTGGTTATTGGCTTTTAATGGCCTGGGGCCCGCCGGCGCCGCGATTAAATCGTGCCTCGGGTGCGGGCGGCGCTCGGCGCTGCGGAGCGCCCGCTCTGTCCGCAGCGCCAGGCACGGCGAAGGGACCTGCGCTTCCCGGTGCCCGCTGCACCCTGCTCCCTCACGGCGGGGATCTCACCGGCGCACACCAGGCTCATCTATGGCTGCGCTGGGCGGCCGCTCCCGCCCGCATTCGCGGCGTACGGACCTTCCAGCCGAGGTCCCGCG